CCCCCAAAACCCCAAAACCCCAAAACCCCTTGGCCTTGTCAAAAGACTGAAAGTTATATTTATTCGACACCTTATTGGAAGCTTAGGTGAGATTTATGTTTGTTTACCTACTGATTACCAGCATTGTTGGAGTAGTTGGCAGGGGCTGAGTATTGTTGGGGCTGGGCAGCTGGGGCTACGTAGGCGGCTCTGGTGAAGTTTTGGGGTTGGGAGGGTTGAGGGAAGGCAGCGGGGGTCACTGTGGCTGTGGGCTGAGGAGCTCTGTAGACTACTTGGGCAGGTTGAGCGTAGTTGGAGTATTGAGCAGGTTGCTGGTACTGGACTCTTTGTTGGACTTGGGGCTGTTGGGGTTGTTGGATTGTGGTGGGGTTCTGGGGAACGGCTGTTTGGCGGTGGGCTGAAGCTAGAGTTTTTGAGGTTAAATGGTAACTTTATTCTTACCTGCTTGATTGGATGAGTATTGGTATTGTTGCATTTGTACAGGCTTCATCATTCTAGCTTGCATCCCTCCTACTCCTGGAAAGCCAAGACCTCCAACATTTATTCCAACTCTCATTCCATAATTTGCTTGCATTTGACCTGGTTGATACATGACCTGCTGATATCTCACGGGCATATACTGGTAATTTTGCATTGGTTGCTGGAACGCCATTCTGTATCCCTGAAATGCTGTAGGGACACTATAAACAGGTTGATGATAAACATTTTGAACTCTCATCTGAATTCCACCGTTAAATTGACCATATTGAGCAACACCTTGGTATCTTCCTTGCCGATTGAGCATGGCTTTCTGGTTCTCAAGAGCCTGATTATCGTTACTTTCTCCTGTTTCCATGAGTTTTTCAAGGAATTTAATGTTAGCCTCTTTCTGAGTAATTGGGTTAACTCTGTTATAATCAGAGGAGAAAGTGATACTATGTCTTTGATAAGTTTGCTCATCATATTTTCTCGCATCTGTAGTTCATTTGCTTACAATAAACCTGGTTGGCACGAAAAGCAAGATAAGAGTTATGAAGAAAGCAGCAAGACCAACATGGTTTGAATCTCCTTCAGAAAGGATATCAGAGAAAGAGAGCAGTGAAATTGCATATAAGAAGCAGAAAAAGGACATCATAGAACTGAAAACCTGAGCCATAGTTGCACCAATTTGCTCAGGGAGTTTGTGTCTACGGAGGAGGACATACTTTTCGATCCAATATTGCCACAAAGCTCCGAAGACTGCAATAACAGAGATGATAGGAAGTGGGTACATGTAAAACACAACCATACAGAACAAAAGCATTGTATTGGCGTATCTTTGAGCCATATCTAGTGGAGGGCCTTCAAAAAGAGCATTGGCTTGTCTTTGAGTAAGCTTCGAGTCATTTCCTTTTCTTTCTTCAAGTTTCTTCCTTCATTGCTTAATAAGATAAACAGGGTTCAACAAATACACAAGAGGGCTGATGAAACTGATCGTTAGAGTATTGTAGAAGATATCAACCATGAGACCTCCGGAATCAAACCAATTTTTCCTTCCAAAGTTAACAAAAAGAGGAGTGATTCCTGTATTAATGAACATTGCAATGGTAAGCTTTACAGCGACTGACAAATGGTACTTGGAATAAGTCTCGTGCTTCTCATATGCAGCTAATATTCTAATGATCCTTCCAAGAGCAACATTAATAACGACGACAAAGAAGGATGTAATAATCGATATGACTCTGATTAAGAACTCTTCACCACCGGAATTTCCACTATTAGAATCACTGTCAATCGCATCTTTGATGTAACTGAGACCGAGATTGACTCCAAAAGCAACAAGAAGGCACCCTGAGGCAATCATGTTTGTATAAAAATTTCTCTTAACTCTTTCGATAGTTTTTACAGAAAGGTTTTCCCAATAAACATCTGTTGGCTCAGATGGTCTTTCAATGTAAACTCTTTTTCCTTCCCAGTATCTTCCATCTACTTTAGATTTGTTGCATTTGAATATTTCGTAGATGATAAAGGAGAAAGCTCTTCTAATCATATTCACTTCGAAATAGTTGACAGCCCTAGTTGCATTACTTTGTTTGTTGAAGACGATAAATGCAGTTCCACAGTATAGATCCTTTTCTGTCTTTACTTCAAGTTCTCCTTCAAGTTTCTCATAGGTCTTTTTTAACTTAGCAATCCCTGTATCAACCGCGTCGATTGGAGGATACTCTTTCTTACAAAAGCACAAAAATCTAGCTCTTGGAGGAGGATTAAGATCTATCTCCCTTGAAATAGCCTCTTGCTCTTCTATATTATGCTTCTTGAGGATTTTCTTTTTATGTGCCATTAAGTAAGCTCTAATTTCTTGAAGGCGAGTACGTTTTCGTGTGACTTTAACAATGTCTTGAATATCATATCAATAATTAATGTATTCAATCTCTACTCCAGGGAGAGTTTGTTTGATCCATTCTGCAACTTCTTCTTGCTTTTTATCAACAGGCAAATGAGTGGCCATGACTCCGTAATCTGAAGGAGTTAGATTTTTCTCATCTATTTCGGTAATAACTTTATTCTGAAGAAATATCAACACAGCTGATCCTAATAGTATGATAAAAATTCAAATAAGGTTCAAGGCTTGCATCCAATGAACGGGTTCTCTGTCATAATAGAGATGATGTTTTCCATGGTTCCCAATAGATGTTTTGACTACAAATGATGTATCTTGATCCCATTCTTCAGCTCTACTCTTGTCCAAGTTAATAGAAAGGCCTGCTATTCCTGCAATGATGGTCATAAAGATATAAATTATAATTGTAAATGCCTTGAATTGATAGTAAAGAGGAAATCCTGACCCCAGATCTTCTAATTTAAGTACATTGGTGCAAATATCGAATGGTTTCGCTAATTTTTCAGTTGGTAAATGACAGCATTTGCAATAATAATCATCCTTTAAAGTTTCAGTCTTAATTTCTTTGGTGATGATGTCGTTAACCTTGTTCGCCTTTCCATGAATCTTAGCCCATTCAAAATCTGGAGGACATTGATCAAGAGGGTCCACTACAGTCTCTTCAGCTTGGGTCTGATTGTATTGATCAAAATCTATCGCTTGAACATCATTGTTTTCCTCAGGCTTATTTTGGTCATCCATCTTTTCTATCTGATTCTTTAGTTCTTCCTCGCTTTCTTCCATTTTCAAATATATTTTATTTCAAACAGATCGTCGGCTTATGGGGTTTTGGGGTTTTGGGGTTTTGGGGTTTTGGGGTTTTGGGG